TAATCTCATCAAATAAAAGCAGTGGCCAGATTGGATGCAGTATAAAGTATTTGTGGTAAACAAAGTCTATCCTGAAACAAACAGGTTCACCTGCACTTTGAGATTGGAGAAGAGCGCTGCAGTTGTCAGGGGACACAATGGCCGGCCCGTGGGGTCTCTAGATGTTCTTCCATAGCTCCAATCCAATCCTATGCCGAGATATGGGGGTGGCGTGTTGTATTTTTATTTTATGTCTATGCACCACATGAGTGCCTGGTGCCCTTGGAGACCAGAAGAGACAGCCAGATCCCCTGAAACTGGAGTAACAGACAGTTGTGAGCCACCATGTGGGGCTAGAAATGGACCACAGGTCCTCTGCAAGAGCAGCTAGCACTCTTTAAGAAGAGTAAATGTCCAGGAGGGAAGCAGTGTGAGGGGAAAGCTGAGGGATAAAACCAGAAATGGCAAGGACTGGAGACTTCCCAGCAGGAGGAGAGCAGAAGCCAACAAGAAACACTCCCATCTCAGGAGTGTTGGGATCCATGATGCGTGGTGGGATAAGACATGAATCAGGTGCGGCAGCAAAGAAATCAGTAAAGCCTTGGGCCAGTTAGAAACTATCAGTAAACCCTAGAGCTTCATAATCAGTTAATCACACACACACACACACACACACACACACTCACACACACCATACACACACACACCATACACACACCACATACACATACCACACACACACCACACACATACACACCACAAACACACATACTCATACACACCATACACACATACACATCACAATATATCACAAACACTCATATACACACCACACACACCCACATCACACACACACACTTACACACACATTTACACACCATACACACACATACCACACACACACCACACACATACACACCACAAACACACATACACATACCACATACACACCATACACACATACACATCACAATATATCACAAACACTCATATACACACCACACACACCAACATCACACACACACACACACACACACATCACACAAACACCACAAACACTCACACATGTATGCACAGGTGATGTTGTGCTAGGTCCCAAGTGAAGAAAGCATGGCTCATTCCTGACTACCACATTTTACAAATCAAGAGCTGTATCAGCTATGATTTCTTCCCTGTGTAGTTTTTGTTTCCATTAAAACTGGACCTTTCTTTTATCTTCAAGAAAATTTCTAGTTGTTTCTGATCAACTACCATTTCGTTTGGGAGCCAGGCTGGCACTTATCACAACTGACAGCTATTGAAATTCAACTCTGGGACTAACACCCTTAGATGGCAATAATTACAACAGTACTGCACAATTAAAGTACTGTTTACTTAAAAGCTGATATTAGGACACTTAAAACGGTTCAGTGGATGAAGGCACTTGCCACCAAGCCTAATTCAATCCCTAAAACACACAGCATGGAACCACAGATCTGACACTCAAAATTGTCCTCTGAGCCAAGAGTAACGGTGCACACCTTTAATTCCTGAACCTGGGAGGCAGAAGGAGGTGGATTTCTGTCAGTTTGAGGACAGCCTGGTCTACAAAGTGAGTTCCAGGACAGCCAAGGCAACACAGAGAAACCCTATCTCCAAAAAAAAAAAAAAAAAAAAAAAAAAAAAAAAAAAAGAAACGAAAGTTGTTCTAAGATGTCTACATATCATGCACCTGACATATACACACACTAATTTAAGTATAGGCCAATAAATAAAAGTAATAGGAGCTGATTTAAAGTAGATTACTAAAAATAACAGGCAGTCAAGAACATAAGTTATCTACCCAAATTTCTAAACCAAGATGCTGAGCTGCTCAAGAAAATAAAATTAATAAAAGACTAGGGGGAGAAAATCCAAAATCCAAAACCAAACAAAAGGAAACACATCCGAATGGTAGTCCTAATGTCCTTCTGCCAATCATCCTCACCATCCATGTAAACTATTTTAAGGATCTGAATCCTGCTCTATAAAAAGCAAATTCCCACTGTCTGTGTTACACTTCAGAGAGTCTATCACAGTTGTTACTGAGGCAAGCAAACTAAGCTGTAGATTTTTGCTTGCCTTCAATACAAAAAGAAACGTTGGGTGGGGGGTGGGCAGTGAGATGGCTCAGAGAGTAAAGGCACTTGCTGCCCAGCCTGAGGATCAGAGGGACCTATAAAGTAAAAGGAAACCTATTCCTACAAGTTGTCCTCTGCCCATTGCATGCCTGTTGTATATGGCACACTCACACATATACAAATAAACGTAAAAAAACAAATAAAAACTTAGAGGCTGGGATGTAGTTCATTGGCAAAGAGGGTCTAGCACACATAAGACCCTGGGGTCAATCCCCAGCACTGTAAATTAAACTTTAAAGATGTAAACCAGTTTACTGTTCTGGTTTGTCTTTTGTTGTGACAAACACACTGACCAAAAGCAACTTAGGGAAGGAAAGGGTCTATTTGGATTGAGCCTCACAATTCATTATTGAAGTTAAGGCAGGAGGAACTCCCAGCAAAACCCATGACAACCACTGCTTACTGACCTGCTCTCTCACTTACTAGGCTAGTTTTCTTTTGCTTTTTTGAATATTTAAAACTTTATTTAAAAAAAAACAAACACCTTCACTAGAATTTTAAAGTTTGAAATGGCTCTTTTTACAATCATAACCTCAAAAAGTTAATAAACCTATACAAGAAGAGCAAACTCATTTTAAAACTTTGCAAGAGTAAATGCTGTATCTATAGGCATCCATCCAACTTTGAAGGGGTAGTGCCATCCTGAGGCAGCTGGTATCAAGGCTGCCTTAATCACCCAAATTTATAGCTTCATTCCTCCACTTAGACCAGAAGGAAAAAAAAAAAAGTCCAACAAAGGAGCGAGTGTTTCCAACTGACATCAGGGTTAGATCCCCAAGTCAACACTTGAAATGGTGTTGGGTCTTTCATTCACTATTTCCCTGACACACACTTCCATGGTTCTCTACTTTGGGGGGAAGGGGGGTTAAGGGTGAATCTAGACTGTTTTCAAACCGAGTATGATATTGGCACATAACCTCTGCTATTTAAAATCATTGATTCATATGAGAGTGTTCCATGGGATAAATGTCCCGAATCCATAAAGGTAAGAATAAATAAACTCAAAGTCAGTTATGAATCTGCTCACAGAGCAGCCTGTCCCTAGCTACAACTCATAAAACTGGGGTAGCATCTTGCCAGGTAAGGTGTTCCTCTAATTTTGACATCGATCCAGAATTCAGAAGTCTACAAACAAATTTTCATTAGCATAAATTGGCACACAGAGCACAGAGAGTCCTCAAAGACAGACGGAGAGTTTCATGGCTTCAGATCAAAAAGCAGGAGAAAACAGAAAACAGACTACCTCAGCTAGTTTCCTTTTATTATATGGCCCAGACCTACCTGCCTAGAAATGGTGCCGCCCACAGTGGTCTGGGCACGCCCACATCTGCCACAGGCCAATCTGATCTGAGAAATTCCTGGATCATGGCTCCCTCTTCCCCAGTGAAAGGAGGTTGTGTCAAGTTGACAATAAAAACTAGCAGTTACATGTTACCCATACTAAACAATGACATACAAAAACTGAAATTTGAGTGCTGCTACAAGGGAGCAATTAACCAACTTTACAGAGATGAATGAACAAATAGCTCATTAAAATTTAAATCTTTCTTAGCAAGTAAAAAAGATAAGTAATACTCAGTTGTCTGGGCGCTTTGTTATTTTCCCTATCTCTATGTCTCTGCATCAATTTTACTATTCTTGGTCCATGGATGAACGACCGTACCACTCTGTTTCGGGTCCCTCATAAGAGTTCCATAAATGTCACGAATAACAGTAAAAATGATCATTTCTAAGGCCAGAATTACTAGCCCGGGGCACCTGAATCTGGTGCAAGGGACAGAGTAGCAAGCAACTCAACTGCATCGCTCCTGACTCTCCCCGCATCACTGCCTCCCAAAGGACTACAGCATCCAAAGCGCTCATTGCCACATCACAAATTAAAGTATCAGGTTTAAAGAACCTATGAGTTCCACCATTAGGTCAGCGTTTCATGAACGAATCCCCCAACAGAAACCCTCTCGGATGCGACACAGCATGCTTTAATCATTCTTTTAATTTAAGAAATAAACTCAACTATTTTTAAAAATCTATTGATATATTATGTAATGAGTTTGACTTTGGAAAACCCCGCACTCATCCAAGCCGCTCATAAAATGGAAAGCAAGATTCAATCTGCTCCATTGTACCCAACCAGACTAACGTGCAAGATCACACACTCATCCTCGTCAGAGCGGCTCTGCCAATACCAAAGAACAACAAAGGCAAGTTGAGGCTGCACGGGCTTAACTCAGCACTTGTCGGCTCTTCCTAGCTTCGCAAAGACCCTCGCAGAGGGGGCCCTCCTGGGGACCAAGGGGACCTTCTGCATCCCGCTGGGCCCCGGCTGCTCCGCTTTTGTCTGGCCCAGGCTGGGAGCCCCGGCCGCCCGGCCTGCCTCCCCGACAACCCCTTCTTCCCTCAGAATCTTTCTCCACACCCATCACTCGCCGATGACTACTTGGAGTGGGGTTTCTTCTCCTGGAGCCCCTTCCCGCTCTGTGCAACATCGGGTTCTTTCAAAGAGACCCCGGGCTGCTCTGGCGTCTCCCAAGCCGGCCAGGGGAGACTCCGGGTCAAGAAGGGGCCCCGGGGTGGGGTCTGAAAGAGACAGGCACACAAAGCCAGGCTTGACCCCACGGCCGCCCCACCTCCCCTCCGCAAAGCAGCCTGCGATCAGGATTGGACCCAGCAGCCGCGCATCCTGGGTCCTCAGCCCGATCCCCTCCCAGGGCCGCCCCCTCCCCCCAAAGCGCACCCCAGAGCGGCTGACAGCGCCGGACACCGTCCCCACCCGGACCCTGCGCCCGCCGCCGCCCGGGAAAGGAGCAGGGCCCTCGGGTGGACTCCAGTCTCCGCATTCTTCGTCTTTAACCCGGTACTTACGGCTCTATTATTCACTACTGTTGGGGCTGCGGACCGGACAGCCGCCGCCTTCTCCTCCACCCCAATGAGGTTAAGTGCTTGGTGCGGGGATTAAAAAAAAAAAAAAAAAAGTGAGAAGCCAACTGCGCCTGCGCAGTGAGGCCTCGCTGTGTTCCTTACCGCCACCAGCTCAGTTGGACCATAGAGACTCCAAAGTCAGCCCAGAGAGGTGGCTTCCTCTCTATGGTAACGCCAGGCGCACTGGCCGCGCGGAGCTCCTTTGCCCCGCTAGGGCGATGGTGATTGAGCCTAACGGCGACCCGTAGCGTAAAGGTGCTTTAATGAGAAAGGTGACCAAGGAGTCTTTGGGCCCCTTGGGGAGTGGAAGCAAGATTATAGGGGAAGGCTGTGTGATGAAAGAGCTAGGAAGAAGTCAGGAGAGCGTGGACCAAGTCTTCCAGCCGGAACTTCCTTTGATCGTCGGCGTATGTGATATTGAAGCGAACCGGCTTTCACTTCTGGGTTATGGGTACCCGCTATTCATCGGCCGAGCTCGGCGAAGGAAACTGACCCCCACGACTTCCCGTAGCCGGCGGTGCGTTCCAGATCTCTCCTCTGAGCATGCGGGCAGACGCCGCTACCGGAAGCACAGCTTTCAAACCGTTGCTCGCGCTTTGGCCATCCAAGCGGCGGGTTGGAGGCTTTGGCTGTAGCGGCGAGCCTGGTGACCGCTCCTTTCCTAGGTTTCTCCGCGGCAGGGCTGCCCCGCGTGGCCCTCGGGGTGTGTGTGAAGTGTTCGGGCCATGCACATTGCAGCGCTGCCTGCGCGGAGCTCAAGGACGCCCAGCTTTGCCGCCCTGCGCCCGCGCGCTCCTCCACAGTTTGGCTTCGATAGCTTTCGTGTTGAAGCTGTACGCTGGTGAAAAATCACCGTGACAGTGTGTCGATCGGCTCCCTCCATCGCGATTGGGTGTCTGCAGTGTGTCTGTACTGGGGGATGTGCGACAATGCCACTGGTCCTCAGGACTTGGGACCAATAAAGACCCTCTGCAGTGTGGAAAGGAGTAAAGGACTATGTCTAAAGAGGAGGATTCGCATGCAGGGTGGGACTCATGGTTGGATACAGGGAAAGTAGCATCTTCAGTCGCAACCAAGTTTACTGAAGAGCGTTCTAGAAAAGAAACACCGCCGGGTCAAGCGGAAGTGGGTGGTGTGCCGGGAGAACAATGTGTGTGAAGAACAGTCTGTGGGAAAGGGAAAGAAAAGAGAAAACGCGAGTAAAGTTCGATAAGTACAACGGGAAGGAATGTTCTCGATGTTTTCTCAACAAAGTTAAATATTGTAGCTGCTTTTTATTGTATAGTTCAGTGAAGTTACATTGTTGTGTAGCCAGCCAGACAGCTTTCTGTCTCACAAATCGAGCCGGGCACCGATGAAATCTGTAATTTCCCAAGTTTTTACCTCCGGCTCTGGTCACAACAGTCTACTTCCTATGAATTTGAAGACTGGGTGCTTTGAAAAGTGGGATCACGTCGTCTGGTTCTTTGTGATTGGGTTATGTCATACAGCCTAATAGACCCTGGGTTTGTGCATGTTGCAGCATGTGTCCAGAGAGCCCTCGTTAAAGCTGAATACCATGCCAGCGTATTATTCACCGCGGGTGCCTCCATCATTTGCCATTGTCCACAATGTTGTGAACATGGATGCCATTCTCTCTTTTGGATCCTACTTTTAGGGCCCGGGGAGATGGCTCAAGATGACTCTGGGTGAAGGCACGTGTTTACAAGCCCGATTACCTGAATTCTATCACACTCCATAATGGAAGGGGAGAACCCACTCCTGCAAGTTATCCTCTCTTCCACACAGACACTATGGCCCATAAACTCAACGCATATTAAATAGATAAATGTGTTTTTAAGTCACTTTTAATAAAATAGGAAGATGGGAAACCATGAGAAGAAATGCACACTTGATACATATTACCCATACCTTAACTACAGATAGTTTCATAGTGGGGGTGGGGTGGGGAGGGAGGGTTGTTTGCAATGCTAGGGAGGAACAGGGCCTCACACTTGCTAAGCAAGTGCTCTAAGACTAGCTAGACCCCCCCCCAGCCCCAAGAACTGTTTTAGAAAGTGAGTCACCCAGAAGGCCAGGAAGCTAAATTTATACTTTATATAAAGCATGCATGGAAGCCTGTACCTCTCCCAGGTACTGTATGAGCACTTTCTGTAAATTATCTGTGTCATGACGTCCGTCAGAGTAAATTTGAGACAGTTGTTACTCTCCTTATTTTCGGAAGAGATAAGCCAGGTTGTGTTACAGATAGATTGAGGGGAGGCCCCAACAGCCATGCATTCCCACTAGCGGTTAAGAAAGAACATTGCCGTAGAACTGAGTACTTGAGGGCACTGACAGGTCACTGCAGAGGGCAGGATGTGAAAGAAAACATTCACATGTATGAGTGGCTTTTTTGCAGGGAGGGGACACTGCTGGGCATCAAACCGAGGGTCTTGTGCATGCTCAGCAAATGCTCACATATAACTCAGGAGAGGTGACAGATGGCACAAACTCATGATTTGTTTGGTGGGTTTGTTGGTTTTTTTTGGGGGGGGGAGTTGGGTTTTGTTTGTGTTTCTGTTTTGTTTTTCCTTAATGAGAAGATTTTTCTATGTGGCCCTGGCTGTAGTTCAGGCTGATGTAAAACTCAGAAATCTACCTGCCTCTGCTTCCAGAGTGCTGATTAAAGTGGTACAGCACTATTACCCGGCTTGTTTTTGTTTTGTTATGTGTATGTGTTCCTGTGGTGTGTGTTCAGGTGACTGTAGAAGTCAGAATGAATTGCTGGATCCCCTGGAGCTGAAGTTACAGGTGGATGTGAACTGAAAGATGTGGGTGCCGGGAAACAGAACAGGTCCTAGGCTGCAGCCATATGTGCTCCTAACTGACAAGCCATCTCTCCAGCCCTTTCCTTCCCTCCCTCATTACTGGTGTTCATCAAGGCCCAATACAGCAACATTGCATCTGCCAAACCCCTAAAACAAACCTGGACTTGATTAGAGATCTGCCTCTGACAAATACAAAGTGTCAGGCAGAAATGGCTTTTTAACTTTAGTTAGGTCAGAATACCTTTTTATGTCATGAATTAACTTCTCAGCACTCCATCTTTCATTCGTACTCTCAGAATACCTCGCAGGTGAGGAAATCAAGAGCCTTGGGATTCCCACTCTGCTTTGGTCCTTTGAGAGACGGGTGCTCAGTGAATGGACAATGTCTCTATTCACCTTACCCCACCTTCCTCAGGAATCCTAGCCTAAACTCCACTGAAATTAATGTTAGAGAAGCAAGGAGACAGAGAATGTAAATACATTATAAATAGCTCTTATACACTCAAGACTTCCGGATACAGACTCTGGGTCAAACAGCCACTTAGGGAACCTCTCTGATGGCACCAAGGAAATAGTAAGGTAATGAGTAAAATACATGATGTGACAGGAAGGATAAGTACTGGGGGTAGAGATGAAGCAAAATAGAGGAGTGTTTGGGGATGGGAAAGAAGTTTGCTTGAAAACACCAGGAGAAGATGAGTTTCCATTAAGAAACCTAAACCACATGTGGTGGTGTAGGCCTTTAGCTCCAGGACAGAGACTGGTGGCAGCTCTCTGAATTCTGGGCCAGCCTGGTCTATGTATTAAGGTAAGTTCCAAGTCAGCTAGGACCACATAGTTAAACCTGGTGTCAAAAAAGAAAGAAAAGGAAAATAGTGACCTCCCTCACACCTTAAAAATTAATCCAAAGCTGGGGACGTGACTCAGTGGGTGAAGTGCTGACTATTCAATCATGAGGACCAAAGTTTGGATCTCCCAAGTAAATGCCAGGTGGGCATGGCAGCCTACTTACAGTCCCAGCACTTCAGAGATGGAGATTACATTTTTGGGAAAGCTGGCTAGCTAGATTACCCTAATTAGTGACCTCTGGGTTCTCAAGAGACCATGTCTCAGTAAATAAAATGGAGTCAAGAAAAACAACAAAGTCTGACCTGGACATACACAAAGGAATTTAATAATTTCAAAATAACTAGGCTTCCCCTACATCCACAGGGTATTTGGTTCCAGGACACACACACACACACACACACACACACACACACACACACACACACAAATCAAAGTGTACAAATACAGTATCGAAGTTAGGGTTTCTATTACTGTGACGAAACACCATGACCACAAAGCAAGTTGAGGAGAAAAGAGTTTATGGCTTAGATTTCAGCCTTGCTGTTCATCTCTGAAGGAAATCAGGGCAGGAACTCAAAACAGGTCAGAATCCCAGGGGCAGGAACTGATGCAGAGGCCATGGAAGGGGGCTGCTTACTGGCTTGCTTTCCGTGACTTGCTCAACTCACCTTATAGAACCCAGGACCAGCAGCCCAGGGATGACACCACCTCTGAAAAGAATCTCTTCTGTATAGTGGGTGATAACAAAAATACCTATGTAGCTACCTTAGATGTAATGATGTGTCACTGCTGGAAGACGCTGGAATGAGAACAAGTAACACATGAGAAATGTTTTAACTCTTGCCCACATACATGTCTGCACACTATGTGTATATAGTACCTTTGGAGGCCAGAAGAGAGGTCAGATCCCTTGGAACTGGAGCGTCAGTCTTGGAACATGTTCTTTAGACCAGGCTGGACTCAAACTCAGAGATTCACCTGCCTCTGCCTCCCAAGTGCTGGGATTTAAGGAATTTACCACCATGACTGATAACGTTCTCTTTTTAAAATTTTGTTTACCTTGGGTGGCACTTGGAGGCAGAGGCAGGCAGATCGCTATGAGTTCAAGGCCAGCCTGGGCTACAGAGCTAGTTAAAGGATAACCAAAGCTGTTACTCAGAGAACCCCTGCTCAAAAAACTAACTAAATAATGTTTACATCTGTGGAGCTAGAGAGAAAAATGCTTGCTACTAATCCTGATGACCTGAACTCAATCCCCAGGCCCCACATGGCCCTGCTAGTTACACTCTGGCCTCCATTGACATGGCACAGCATGTACATACACACTAAATGAGTGAATGTTTTAACGTTTCTTCTTAAAAACATGTATGTCATATCCTTCATTTTACTCCACA